CCTCTGTTGCCGGGAGGATCTAAGTCACTTTGACACAGAGAAGCGGTCTTGATTTGCAATTCCGGTTCAGAGCTTCAGATAAGGGGCTTCTGAACACAACAGTCCACATTTACCTTAACTTTGTATTTCTGCCGGAAATGAACCTGGGTCTACTGTGCAGTTCAGACTTGTGTTGACTCCTGTATACACAGACCTGCTTTGCTTTGAGCCTATCAAAGCACTGCTTCATTTATATTTTGACCTAAACTCTATCCTTCCCCCAAATCCTGTAGTTCTCGCTTTTCCTGTTTGGTCAGACACCCCTAGTTCCTCTGGTGTGGTCTCCTTCATCGTAATGAATTAGTGAATCGGATTTTGTCAAACTACAGGTTTGTTCCTGGTGATCTTAGGCTGATTGGGCCAGCGTATGGGTAATAGGGTTACAGGGGTTCCTTGTACTTACTATTCCCTCCGCTATTACAAATGACTCACATTTTCCATGTTTCCAAGTGCTTCAGAAGTCTTTACCCCATGATAATAGTAGGAGCCATGACATTGAGATCTCTGCAAGTGTGAATAACAGCCCTCCAAAGACATCCACATCCTGATCCCTGACACCTGTAAATATGTTATCTTCGCAGATGTATTAAGGCTAAAGATCCTGAGATGGAAGGGGCGCCTGGGTGGCTCAGTTGGTTGGGCGACTGCCTTCGGCTCAGGTCATGATCTTGGAGTCCCTGGATCGAGTCCCGCATCGGGCTCCCGGCTCAGCGGGGAGCCTGCTTCTCCCTCTAACCCTCCCCCCTCTCATGTACTCTCTCTCATTCTCATTCTCTCAAATAAATAAATCTTTAAAAAAAAAAAAAAAAAAAGATCCTGAGATGGAGAGAGTATTCTGCCCCAGTATAATCACATGTCCTTAAAAGCAGAGAACCTTTCCTGGCTGTGGTCAGAGAAAACTGTGACCACAGAAGAAGGGTCAGAGACTTTGCTGATCTTGAAGATGGAAGAAAGGGGCCATAAGCCAAGGAACGTGGGCAGCCTCGAGAAGAAAGGCAAGGAAACAGGTTCTCCTCCAGAACCTCCAGAAAGGACTGCAGCCCTGCTGATAATCTGATTCTAGCTCATGAGATTCATGCAGCGTTCTGACCTATAGAACTAGAAGTTAAATTTGTGCTACTTTAAGCCACATTGTGGCAACTTGATATGGCAGCAAAAAAAAAATGAGTAAGAGATCACTCAGAACAGTGGGTAAAGACAGAAATGAACCAAGGGAGACACCACATAATGGAACAGTCAGAAGAGACCAACAAAGGAGAAAGTGGTCCAGATGTAAGCTGCCCACTCCTTAAAGTGACAGCTGAAGGTTGAGTAGTTTTGCAGTTTGAAGTGCCTGTTCTTCCCTTGCTTCAGTGTCTGCATTCAACAAAGAGCCTTTTTTTTTTTTTTTAAAGATTTTATTCATTTATTTGACACAGAGAGAGAGACAGCAAGAGAGGGAACACAGCAGGGGGAGTGGGAGAGGGAGAAGCAGGCTTCCCGCCGAGCAGGGAGCCCAATGCGGGGCTCGATCCCAGGACTCTGGGATCATGACCTGAGCTGAAGGCAGTCACTTAACTGACTGAGCCACCCAGGCGCCCCTAACAAAGAGCCTTTTCTATCTGAACTATCACCTTCTCCCTTCGTGTTGAAAGCCTGAGAGTTTGAGAACTTTCACAATCTCAATTCACATTATAAACCCATCAAGGTAATATTCTGGTTCCAGAAGAGCTGGTTTTACCACATCATAAACGAGAATGAAATTTAGCTATTTTTAGCATTAATCCAAGTTCTGCGACATTGGAGGACAGCCTAAAAGAGGAGGGGGACAGCCACCAGACCGGCCTGACCGTGCAGAGCTGGTCTCCGTGTTTATTTTTTATTTATTTGACAGAGAGAGACACAGCGAGAGAGGGAACACAAGCAGGGGGAGTGGGAGAGGGAGAAGCAGGCTTCCCGCGGAGCAGGGAGCCCGATGCGGGGCTCGATCCCAGGACCCCGGGATCATGACCTGAGCCGAAGGCAGACTTTTAACGACTGAGCCACCCAGGCGCCCTGGTCTCTGTGTTTAAACACTCCTCCCAGACCCACCCCTCCTCGGATGCTTAAGGTCCAGAACTACAGCTCATCACTAAACCACTTTCTCAGCCACCAATCTGGAAAATGGCAAATTATTTCACCCAGTGAGACTGTTGATGGCACTATCTTACAGAACATTCACTTTCTAAAGGGCTAAGTGTACACAGGGAAAGAAACACTGGATTTCCGGGTTTTCAGGCTAAGTGGAGAGTGTGAAGGATAGCAGTGTATTCCTAAGTGATAAACCGCCAGACTCATCTGGTTTTGACAACCTGGGCCTAATGCCTCATTCTCACACGAAGGCCTTGGCATGTGACTTTTTCCCTCCGCCTGAATGCCCTGCCCCATTCATTCCTCAGAATTCAGATCAACTGTCACTTTCTTAGGGGGGCTGTCCCAGGTTATGTTAGTTCCTTCTGTCCTAGGCCCCCCCCAACACCTGTACTTCTCCTTTTGGACCACTCACCACACCTGAAATTACTTGTTCAGTGTCTTTCACGTTCGCCATTAGATGATGAATTCTGTAGGGTAAGGACAAGGTCTGCCTTCTGTCGTGCTCACTGTTATCTCCTCGGTCTCCAGCAGACAGCAGATACAAGTGTTTGACGACTGATTAACTGAGTGAAGCGTGGGGGCCTCGTGCTCTTATCCTGGGTCTACAGGTGATTTCTACATTAATGGTTCCTGGAAAATGGGAATTAAACATTTGGGCCCCTCAAAGCTGAAGAACCAAAACCACCGAGTTTCTAAAACGTACCTAACATCTTATGTTCATCCGTGGTCTTGTCCGAAGCTTGAAGCGGCCAACAGACGCAAGAACAAGTGGGTCAGATTTTCGGCAAGAGTAACAAGATAATTCAGTGGGAGAAGAGAATATTCTTTCCAACTAACGGTGGGACAACTGGATATGCACATGCAAAAGAATGAAACTGAACCCTTCCTTACACCACACACCCAAATTAACTCAAGATCAATCACAGACCTAATGTTAAGAGCCAAAACTATACAACTCTTAGAAGAAAACACAGGAACAAATGTTTGTCACCTTGGGTTGTTCAAAACTTTCCTAGACATGACACCAAAAGCACAAGTGACTAAACTAGACCTCGTCAAAATTACAAACTTTTGTGCTTCAAAGCACATTATCAAAATACACCCCACGGAATGGGAGAAAATATTTACAAATCATGTCTCTGCTGAAAACTTGTATCCAGAATATCTAGAGTCTCTTACAACTCAACAGTAAAAAGCCAAAGAACCTAACTGAAAAAAAGGACAAAGGATTTGAAGAGGTTTTTTCCAAAGAAGAAATACAAATGACCAGTGAGAACATGAAAAGATGCTCAACATCATTAGCCATCAGGGAATGTAAATCAAAACATGACAGGATACTAGGATGGCTATAATCAAAATGAGAGCAAGTGTTGGCAAAGACCTGGGGAGACGGGAGCCCTCATATATTGCTCCAGAGAATGTAAAATGGTGCAGTCACTTTGGAAAAGTTTAGCAGTTCCTCCAAAAGTTAAACATGGAGTTACCATTTGACCCAGTAATTCCATTCCTTGGTATATACCCAAGAAAAATCAAAATCTAAAAACTTTATATGAATTTTCATAGCATTATTCATAACAGCCAAAAAGTAGAATCCACATGTCTATTAGTAGGTGAATGGATGAACAAAATGTGGTATATCCATACAATGAAATATTAGTCATAAGAAAGAATGATGTACTGATGCATGGTACAACATGGCTGAACCTTGAAACCCTTGAAAGTGAAAGAAATCATTCATAAGAGGCCACATCTTATGTGATTCCATTTATATAAAATATCCAGAAGAAGCAAATCTAGAGACAGAAAATCGATTGGTGGCTGCCTCGAGCTGGACTGGGGGTGGGAGAAGGCGGGTGACAGGGGACGGGGAGCGACTGCTAGCTGGGTGGCAATTTTTCTTGGGGTGCTGAAGACATTCTGGAACTGATTGTGGTCATGGTTGCACAACTCTATGGACTATACTAAAAACCACTGAACTGTACGCTTTACTTAGGTGAATTGTATGGTACATGAATTATATCTCAATAAAGCTGTTAAAAATTTAAGTAGTAAAGAAATGCCGTGCTTCTACTTCACAATGGCATGCATTTGTCAGAAGCTAATCTCACACTTGTTTTCCCAAACATAAAGAAAGACACAGGTTCCTGTCTTCGGGGACACTGACACCCAAGCTGATTCATTTTCCTGTGTGCTTGAACAACTGTCAAGGGCTCAGTGCAGGAATCCCGCTCCTGGGGAATCATGGACCTGCAGGCTTCTTGCAATGGAGCACTTCAATTCTACAGAGCCATGCATTTTTCTCTCGTAACAATGAATTGTCCTCGGAGCCTGAAGTGCAGCACGAAAAATTGTCTTTCCAGCAGTCACTCCATTGAGATCACCTGACACTCACTGGGTACAGTATTTAGGGCAGGCCAGAGTGCCAGGATGACCGAACCCTAAACACGAGATGCTGGACTATGGGGCTCCTGATTCGGTTTCTCCCTTTGGTCCAGGTTCTTCAGCTCTAGCACAAAGGTCTGAGCACCCCATGCCCCCTAGCAAGAGTGCTGGATGGGAAGAGAGAAAGAACATCCTAGAGTTCAGGTTCCATTCCGTAGCTCTGGGGGCTCGCACCGAGTGTCCACCCTCTCCTGAGCCACTGTACTTCCCTTTCGTGCCCAGGGCAGGGCTTGGTTGGGAATCCTGAGGACAATTCCTGCCCGGGCATGTCAGAGGGAACAAGTGAGCACACAGGAAGTCTGGGTGGCGAAGGAGTCAAGAAGAAAAGCTATGGCTGTCCTCAAGTGAAAATGGCTCGTCTAGAGCGGAATTCAGAGCAAGGACCAAGAGATAAATCGACAACTGGATTAGCAAAGGAAGCAAAACTTCCACTTTATTTTAGAAGTCCTTGAGATATAAAAGACAATAATTGCGAAGTCGAAGGCTAACACAAACCATGGACCTGAGTGTCGAGAGGACTCCAGGGGTAAAAGAAGATGGCAAGGTGCATGACTCAGGATTTTTCCAGCTTTGGAAAGTCAGAGAGCCCAGATCACGGCAAGAACAGCCAGTACTGGCTACAGATTCTTTACAAAGGTGTTTACCTGTGGGAAAGAGAAAAACCAGAAGTTAAATTTCACATTTTCCGCACGCTCTCTAATAGTCCACCCACACTGGTATGCAACCACGCCCAGGTGTTATGAATTAGGAAAAATCGGGAGGAAATGGGACCTGCGCAGGGTCACATTATGGAAGTGGCTGAGCTGGGAAGAGAACCCAGAAATTGCATTTCCCCAGTTCAAAAATACCTTTGAGGAGAAGTTGGCTGGGAAGTCAATTATTTAACAATTATTAGCCCAAAATGCTTTAGAGAATAGGGATATTTGTAACGTGCACAAGGTCCCGCAGGCTTTGGAGTGTGAAATGCAATTTGAAGCACAAAGCACAAGACCCATTACATTGAAGTCTGAGGCAAAGATAAAAGTGCAAAAAGGAAAATCACTAGAAGCAGGGGTTAAGGTCCTCCTCCTCCACCTTTTTCATGAGTTCTTCTTGTTTGGCTACTTCCTCAGAAAAATCTTCATTGACATCCAATACCAGTACTGGAATGTTCAGCAGAGCCTCAAAATGGAGCCTGCAAGAAGCATGAAAGTTTAGGGGACAGAAAAAAAGCCGAATCAACCTTCACATACTCACGACATCTTAATAATCCATAGAGCAGATCTAAAGTCACATGGCTTCTCAATGAAATTGCATGTAAATTACAGTTTAAAAAAAAAAAGAACTTAATAAAGTTGGCTGCAAAGAGGAAGGCTGAAATTTCTCTTTAGCCTTGAGATGGATACTGAAGGTCAGAGCCCCAAACATTTTAAGTGGACTACATACCAAGCCCAAAGGGAGGAAAGGCCAAAATCAGGACTGTCAACTTAGTAAAATGGACAATTTCTCTAAAAATTTTCAGCCCTTCACCCTGGGTCAACTCTATCACCATCATCAATCACAATGTTCAATCTAGGGAAACAAAAAAGCTGGAGAAACAGAACCTAATAAAATGCCTCTTAGAATATACACATTGTATCTCATATTGAGTTTCTCAGTTGCATTTCTAACCACTTTGTACATCTGAACCTTCTTATGGGGCTGCCTGTTGAGCTGGTGTCTGAGCACCTGGCTGTAGGGAGGCAGGTGTCTGTGTGGTACTGGCTTCTCCACTTACTCGGTTGTCTTGTGAACAAGCCAGGCTTCGTGCTGACCGTGAAGCTGTTTGAGATACTCCAGCTCAACTCCTTTCTCCTCTTCCCTGGCCCTCTGGTGGAGTCTCTTCAAACAAACCTAAAAGACAATCCCCAGGCCACACTGAGCTCATGTGTTATCCTGGCTGTGACGATGTGGTCCTCGGGGGCTCGGGGACCCACTCGTGACATCTGGGAATGATAAGCCACGACCTTACTTCTCCGGTCTTGTTTCCTTATTCAATCACAGGTTAACTGCAAACTTCATCCACCCTGGGAAGCTGTAATTACCCTGCTTTTAATCTCTCTCACCTCTGCCTTCCTCAGGTCCTCATCATCTCTCACCTAAACCATGGCAAGAACCTCTGGCTCTCTTTCTGGAGGCGGTGAGTGCATGGGATTAGCACAGGCCTTAAAAAAACCCACGATTCACTTCCTGTCTTCACCATGTACTAGTGGTGCAATCTTTATGGGCTTCCCATTCCTCCCCTCCACTCCCCCCGCGGGAAGCTGAGAGGACTCACCAAGGTTAAGGTGTGTCAAGTTCCTGGCCACAGCAGCTCTCCCCTCCCAGTGAGCCGCCTCCAGCCACCCTTCCACCCACCCTTCCACCCGCCCTTCCACAGCGATCCAAGAGAACCGCAGCACTCTCCTCGCTGCAAACACCTCCCAGGCTCCCTACTGCCTGTAGCCATAAAGCCCCAGGTTCAAGGAATTATCACATTTACAAAATGGTAAGTAATCTGAAACATGTCTTTCATAGCCTGTCACTCACTGACTCTGGAGCAGAAGGCAAACCCTACATAGATCAAAGATAAAACCAAGAAGTAAAAAAAGCGAGGCTTAAGACTAACTCTCCTTCCCTCCCCCTTTCCAAAGAGGGCATCATTCCATTCTGCCTTCACCTGGTACAAAAGTCTGAAGCACGCTGGCTCAGAGAACGTCATCTTCTCCTTTACCTGCCACACAAGGCTATCCCGGATTCTGGCCACCTCTCCTACCCCTCCACCCTCAACTTCCTTAGCACCTGCCTGGACTCAGGGCGGCAGCCAGATTGGACCCGTGGGACAGGCCGACCTCTTTCCCGCCTTGAGACTTCTGCTCCCAATGTTTGTTTTGCCTGACTGCTTCCCTTCCTCTCTCTAACTGGCAAACATTTCATCATTCAATATCATCTGTCCTGGGAAGAACAGGTAGATTAATCCACTGATCTAGGACTACCCTCTTTCAAACACTTAACTTTATTCCCAATGTAAACTTTAGGCCCAAATGAAGCACACAATATTCCCGAAGATGCAGAGTCCGTGCTGTGCATCCCACCTTTCCTCTAAGGAGACAAAATCATGTAAACAAATTTCATTTATGAGCTTATGTCCAACTTTTCAGATTGATTAACGGAGACAGATCTAACAGGTTAATACTTTTAGCACTTAACTCCTCACTAATCTTCTCCCCTAATCATTTATCATCCCAAACTTAGATCAAGTCCTTATCCTTGGGACTTTACAATTTAGTTAGATAATAAATAAAACAATATGCGAAACAGTGCATCAAGTGCTAAACTGTGAGGTCTGGACCTTTAGGGCAGCAGTCCAGATAAGGGAGGGAGCCACTGGGTCCCAGCGGTCAGAGAGGCGTTCCCCGGCGGAGGCAGGAGCTCCCCCTTTATCTCTGGTACCAGCTCCCCAGCACCTCGGTAGGCCCCGGGGAAACACAGGCCACCGGTGGCATTTCCACTGTAGCAGGGGACAGAGGGAAGTGTGCACAAGGGGCACGGCGGCTGGGGGCCACAGTCTTGTCTTGTTCAGGGCTGAGCACTAGGCCGGCAGAGCCCATGGTCAGTAAGTGTCTGTTGCCCGCCTTCATTCGTGGCTTGCAGTTCTGACCTCGTCCCCCAGCTCCATTCACCTTTGCCTCCTGCTTTCATCTTTTCCTTTTCTACTTTCCCTCACCATGAACCTGCTTTCTCTTCCCTCTCTTTCTGCCCCCACACCCCACCTTCACTGCTGAGGGCTTCAAAACCTTTCCCGTTGTTTGCCGCCCCCCCCCCCCCCCCCCCCCCAGCACACGGCCCTCCAGCCCCGGCTTCTGGCAGTGCAGTCCTCCGTGCCACCCGCCACCGCTTGGAACTCTTTGCGTGCCTTCAGAAGTATTTCATGCATATACACCTCACCCCACCTTTTAAAAAAACACCACACTTGTAAAAGGTGTCCCACCACACACACTGTGCCAGCTTTTCTTCACTTAATAATGCCTTAGAGACTGTTCCGTTAGTATAGTGCTTTCCCAAGTTTACGGTGTCAGAGTTTTCCAGTGTATGGACAGAGCATGATACACCCAACTGGCCCAATGGTGACCGCCTAGGGCGTTTCCAATGAGCTGCTATTACAAACAGTGCTGGCTTGCATAGGAGCCACTCTGCCCGTGTGGGAGCATATCTATGGAGTAAATTCCAAGGAGCAGGATTAATAGGTAAGCTCCCATTTTGAGCATTTGGCAAAATTCTTGTTTTACTGGTAGGGTTACAACAAATTCTTTAACAAGTCCTGTGCAAGCAGTGCTCTAGTCCTGTGTGTGCTGTGATCAGTCGTCATGGGGAGGACACACCTGAGTGTGACTAAGAAAGACAGTGGGGCTATGAATAAGGGGGGACCCTCCTGCTGACCTGCCCCCTTCACCAACCAGCCCAGGAGGAGTGGCTGCTGGGACGGCAACTGGACTGCGACTCTGCTGGTGGGTCTGGCCACTGTGCTTCCCAAGCCCAAACCCCATGCCGCCAACAGTTCCCGGCAAGGCCTGGCTGGCTGTGCAGTCTTCCTGATTCCATGGGGTTGGGTGGGGACACTGAGGCCCAGACATCTCTCTTTTGACTCATTTTTTTTATGTTGGTTTGCTTGCTTTTTAGAACTTAGGGAAGAGCAGGTAGAAAGGAGCAAAATGCCCTCCTTAGGTCCATCTCACAAGCTCTAAACTCAGTATTTCCCAGGGCTCTGTATTAGAATATGGGGGCAAGTGCATGGCTTTTCACACAGAGATGTGGTTCACTTCTGTTCTGCTCTTCCCTTGGATATCGTTACCTCTGAATCTCCCAGAAGGGGTCAGGGGTGACTCTGGGGAAGGATATCAGCATTCCTGGGTCTCTGGCTCTAAAACCGTCGAAAGAGCATCAAAATCCCCATCCAGTCTTAAAGCTTTTTTGCTTTTTCTACCATTAAGTTGCAAGAGCCCTTCAAACCCCCTCATTCTACCCCAGCTGAAAGACCTCGGCTAGTCTCTCCGTGAAGACACATCAGTCACATCCTCCTCATCGTCATAATCGCCACCACTGTTGTCATCATCACTGTCCCCTTCTCACAGTCATTCCAAGTGCACAAAAAAGTGAGGAAGACTTTTTTGCCGGCCTTCTTCTCTCCAGCTACTACAAGCCCATGTGTTGGGCTCCCCACTATCTTTTGGCCCTGCTTGGGCTGCTCTCAGGCCTGCTCCATCCACAAGGCTCAGGCCTGTCTCTAAAAAGTGTGGCCTCCCATCAGAAGGGAGCTTTCCTCCTAAGATTATGCAGTATACCTGACACGTGACCACCCATTACATAGGAATCAAAAGCCAGGAGCAACACACCTCTCAAAAAATACCTCCAGCCTTGACTCAGAATCCCACTCCAGAAGAGCCCTTAGAGACCACTAGCCTGAGCCACTGGATTTGACAGCAAGGACCCTTCCATGGGAAAGGCTGCTAGGGGCTGTCCACGGTCACTGCCAGGCAGAGACTTCTTCTGTGACATCACCCTATTCTGTATGAGGCTGGCTCCAGGGTCCAAGCCAGAAAGTCAAGGAATGTAACTTCTGTAGTCCATCCTGACTTACCAGTGGTACCCTTAAGGCTCAAAAGACAGCTAGCTGTAAATTATGCTAGTATCAGGGTGAGGTAAGGAAACTCTCCACTTCCTCCCGGCATCCTATTCAGGAAACCATCAAGACCATCAGACTCTGAGGACCCAGCTGGAGGAAAGGGAAAGCCGAAGCAGTTGGCTACAGGTAACCTGGCCAGAGGAGCCAATCTGCAAACCCTGGCTGAAAAAGACAATGCCCGATTTTCTCTATGTTGTTGTTCCATCGAGAGGGACCCTTTCTATCAGTCATCCGCTTTAGCCCTCTGCCACAGAAAGCCTGTGGGAAACAGGGTGCTCGATGCCAGAAGGGGAGGGTGTGACCCACACTGCTCTCCATGTTCCACATAATACCCGCCATCTCCTTTCTTCAACCAGAAAATCGGGTGTTGGAGAACATCACCTCTTAGGTTTCAGACAGCCCTGAAGATTAAGGCTTGATGTTCCGCATTACCTGGGGAGTAGCCTGGAGGTAGATGAAGCCATGTAATCTGAGCTGGCTGGCAAACTCCTGCAGGAGAAAAGAATGCCAGTCTTGATAGATATGCCATTCGATGTTATTGAGGGAACCATTTTCAAAAAGATTCTTCGCAAAGATATACCTGGTTGGAAATATAGGTGGGATTGGGGGAGGGGATCAGAATGGGAAATGGAATGAAAAGCAAAAGGGAAAGAAGCAGAAAAATCAATAACCAACTTGTTCCATGTCTGTTCAAGCCGCTTAACCCTTCTAGCTCCTCATCAATCTTTAAGAAATCTGAATTCTTAACCTGTATCTCCTTCCTTGTTCAACAGTAAGATGGGAAATAGCATGTCAACTCTAGAAGCCAAAATCACAGCTCTCCAACTGGATTAATCTACTGGAAGAACAGGGGCAGTGGAAAAGACGATCTTCGGTCCCCAGCGATTCTCCCTGCTGGAGGCCAGTGAGAACAGATAGCATTCAGGGTATGCAAACTCACAATTCTGAGATTTATTTATTATTGCAGCCAGCCCCTAAGCCAAAAAAACCATCTCGGGCTTATGAGGGCTTCCCAGTCTCCAGGCTGCTGATCCATCCTCTCGTGTGGTCAATAAGTGGAGAAGGAAATGTACTGAAGTGGTGTCACCTACGGAGCAGGGAATGCCTTTCTTATTTAATGCAGCGTTACCAAGAAAGCAGACCCTCCCCCAAAGCGCACAGGAGCCCTTACTCACTTGCTTCCTCTGCTGCTGAGCTGCTAATCCAGGTGCAAGAAAGCTCAATCTAAAAATCAAACAAGCTCGCCCCTTGCTTACTTCCACAACTAAAGGAGCATCTGGTAAATAGGAAATCAGAGCTAACAAGAACCCATTGCTTCAGAAGGGTCAATTCTGCTTTGAAACCTAAGGCATCTTGATACAAAACACAATTTACATCCTAAACAATGAACTCCAGTTTCTAAGGCAACGCTTAGCAACTGGCCACTTCTGGGAAAATGAAATTCAGAATCCTTGTGTACAAATGGCCCAGGGAAGTATACACCACAAGGCTGCAAGTGTTGCGATTAAGAGAATGGTGGCAGCGTCACATTCCTGAGTGTGAGCCTGGCCCCCAAATTCACAAACTGTGTTGCCATGGGCAAGTCATCAAACTCCCTCAGCCCATTTCCTCCTCTGTACAAAGAGGTAACAGTAGAACTGGACTCATAGCATTGTTGTGAGGACTGTATGTAGTCAAGGTGCTTGGAAGAGTGACTGGTGCAAAGTATTCAAGACATCTTTGTTACTATACCTACTTCTTTGCTAGGCTGTGAAGAAATTAATCTAGGAGCTCCCGAAGTCAACTTTCTCAGTCTGGAATGGGTTAGCTATCGTCTAGCTGAAGGCAACATGGAAAGATGACTTTTGTAACTCAATTTCTGAAAAATATTTTCAGCTTCTTCACAGGCAACTTAGAAATTAAAATGTTGGGGCGCCTGGGTGGCTCAGTTGTTAAGCGTTTGCCTTCAGCTCAGGTCATGATCCCAGGGTCCTGGGATCGAGCCCCGCATCGGGCTCTCTGCTCAGCGGAAAGCCTGCTTCTCCCTCTCCCACTCCCCCTGCTGTGTTCCCTCTCTCGCTGTGTCTCTCTCTGTCAAATAAATAAATAAAATCTTAAAAAAAAAAAGAAATTAAAATCTTATAAAGAAAAATGACGGATCGGTTAAGAAGCCCTTTAAGAGGGGCCCTCCCCTTTCTTGAGGATGAGCACTTATTTCCCCACAGCTGGTGGTGACGGGGTGGGAGAAAGCTGGGGTGCAGAGGACTATGGGGAGGGAACAACCACAGACTGCGTGCTGGTGCCGCGGAGAATGAGCTTACGGACCCAGGCATCAGGGCTCCTGTTCTAAAACCACATACTATTGTTGCTTTTAACTCCACCAGAAAAGATTTAGATTTCTTCCTCCTAGTCATCCACTCTCCCAAACAACTTGTGTTCCTCCTTTGGGACACACATCACACACATATGAGCACGTGTGCGGTCTCATAGTCCCCGTTACACTAGGGTTGACCTGAAAGCAGGAACTGGGTCTGCCTTCCTCACTGCTGCAGCCCCAGGGTCTAGCCCGGTACCTGAACATATGGAGATTTAACAAATCTGTGCTGAACAAAGGAATGAATGAATGAATGTTTTAAAGAAGGGAAAGGGTCTTGGGGCGCCTGGGTGGCTCAGTTGGTTAAGCGACTGCCTTCGGCTCAGGTCATGATCCTGGAGTCCCGGGATCGAGTCCCGCATCGGGCTCCCTGCTCAGCAGGAAGCCTGCTTCTCCCTCTCCCACTCCCCCTGCTTGTGTTCCCTCCCTCACTGTGTCTCTCTCTGTCAAATAAATAAATAAAATCTTAAAAAAAAAAAAAAAAAAAAGAAGGGAAAGGGTCTAAATTATCATCACGATTAGAATGTATAATGAATTATCCTTTCTATCTCTAAAATGCCCCCTCTGAAGAAAACATCTAGAATGTGTAGCTGCCTATAGCAAAATCAATTCTCATATCTTCCTTTACAAGAAAATGTTAAGATCTTGTAGCTTCTAAACAAAGTGTTTCTTTTTCTGAGGGGTCTCTCACATGCCTAATTCACTATAGGGATGGAAATCAAAAAACCCATGGTGATTATATTTCCAAGTAACCAGGACAGTCATATGTAATTCATCTTCCTAGTCCAGGAGGCATGGCCAGGGAAAGCGGAGAGAAAAATATGCAGTAGTATACCCAACAACTGTAAAAGAACCAAAATCTACAGCTCAACCACTTGTAATTCACATATTTAGCTTTTATAAAGAGTAAACTGTCTCTTGGGGTAGAGAAGGAATATGTAGCCTATAGGATTTGTTCTATGTATCTTGCATGGTTTTGAGATAATGTTAAAAAAAATCACATGACACAAGTGTACCCTTCTTTTTTCCCTCCAGGAGGTTTTATGGGAACACTAAGAAGTAGAACTAGGTTGTCTAACTTGAAAGTAAATGGGTAACCAGCTTAGCATCTTCAGAAGTAAATAGATGATGAAAAAGTACAATTATCAATAACCACAGCTGAGGGCACCTGGGTGGCTCAGTTGGTTAAGCAACTGCCTTCGGCTCAGGTCACGATCCTGGAGTCCCGGGATCAAGTCCCGCTTCCGGCTCCCTGCTCAGCGGGAAGTCTGCTTCTCCCTCTGACCCTCCCCCACTCTCACGCTCTCTCTCAAATAAAAATCTTAAAAAAAAAATAAAATAAAATAACCACAGCGGGGCAAGAAGGGAAAACATGCAGCACTGAGCATGGGGCTTGTGGCCAGTGAAGGGCTCAGGGTCTTACCTGTCACTGTACACGGACCTCTCAAAGATCTGTACTGCGTTCTCGGCCTGTAACAGTTTCTCAGGGAAGGGCTCCAGCTGTACTTTCAGGCGGCTCATAAAAGATAATGTCTGGAATGTGTAGGACCATCGTGCTGGTTCCTGGTACATCATATCCAGCAAGTTTCCAAGACTTTGGGCAGTGAAGGCCTACAGGGAAATTACAAAGAGGAGCATTTCCAAGAAGGTATATTTACCCCATGGTGTTTACTCCCCAACACCATGGTTTAATAATCAATGAGGGAAGCAATTACAAAAGTTTCCTTCTACTAAAGAGATATAATCATATCCCCCAGTTTAGTCAAAGCTATATAATCAAGGAAGAGATTTTCCTACCTGATAAAATGAGAATTTGAGAGGGAGAGGACACGCCACCTTCAACACACCAGAGAAGAGCAGAGGAAGAACCACACATACAATCAGCACATTCACTGACTGGTTTGTGGAGTCTGTCTGATGAGCAGTTAACCAACAACCATCTAAGACTACTTGGAATCAAATCTTCCCATTTTAACACTATGTTGCCTCTCTTTTGAACTTTCATCTGTGGCTATTTCTTTACAAAACTTCAACCCAGACAAGAAAGCAACGGATTATTTGAAAATCCAACTAACCAACCAAATAGAATTCTCTCTCTCAAAGAAGGGATGAAAACAAACAAACAAAACCTTCCTCCTCCATTCTGGAGACTTTATGAAATGTATTTGAAGACCCACTTACTCAGCGTGTGCAGGTGGGAACATGTGTGAGATACTCAGAAGCCCTGGACTCTTTCCTGGGCTCTGCCACTGACTCAGCACAAAAGTGAATCCATTCACTCTCCATTAACTGAAGGCCTACACGGATGAGGCGCTACATAGGCTCAACGCTGTAAGGGGTTTTATTTTCAGTGTTCACTGTGCTGTTATGTCATTTAATCTTCAAAACAGCTTCATGAAGAGGGCACTATTGCATGCTCATTTTCCTGAGGGGCAAATCCACTCATAAAGGTTAAGTAACTTACTTGTCCAAGGTTTCAAGATGAGTAAATGCAGAACAGGGACTCAAACCTGGCTTCCTGTAACTTCATTCTAATGCTTCTCCATACAAAGACAAGCTGGGAAGTAAATGATACATAGAATTTCCACAGATAGAAATGGGGACTAAGAGCACATATGGGGTGGAGAGAAAGACGGAGGGGGAACTAGGTTAGACAACCACAAGTGGTCCAGTCTGGCTAAGTATCAACCACAGATTCCAAAGAAGGATCCCAGCCCTTTGAAAGACTTCACGGGGAGCAATGCAGGTAGAGCAGAATGGATCACAAGATGTTTTCCCTCCTTCCAATTCTCCAACCCGCAAACACACAGCAGTCTCACAAATGACCCCCGGTTAAGAGTTGGAAGTAGAGGCAGGGGGACAAATCTAAATCCACTTGAGTCTCTGATGGTGTCACCAGAGAGAGTAGAGAGCCCTTGGGGTGCAGCACAGTTACGAGACTGTACGGAAGCCCCATGAAGGGAGTGAGGTGCTGTGTACAGATGTACTAGGTTGACTGGGTGGGAGCTATTCTATCAGCGGCCTTTGGGCTACCAAAGGGAAACTGTTCTGGAACAAAACTCTGTTCAGGGCCTACACAATTTCTGCAAGAACCCATCTCAGCTACAGAACAAATGCAAACATCCCTTCAAACATATAAGCAAAGAGAGGAACAATGACTGGATATAGTAATATTCAGCAATTCAAAGGGAGAAAACCAATGCATCTGCTCAGGACAAGCAGCCCCTTAAGAGACAGAGCTGTTGCCAGAAACAAAAGAAAACAAAAATCTCAATGAGATTCAAGAGACTGCCACATCGATAAGAACAGGCTGTCATAAAAACAGGAATAATATGAAAAGAACATTCTTAAAGGAGAAAAAAAATGCAATTGCCAAAACAAAGCACCCTATGAAGACAGTAACGAGCAGATTGTACACTGCAGTAAACCTAATTAGTGAATGTCATACAGAACATCAGCTCAAGAAATTTTCCTTAAACTAAGAGGAAAAAAAAACCAACCCAGAAAATTAGGACAGAAATGAAGACATACAGGATAGAAGGAGGAGATGCAATGTATACTGTAGTATCATGCCAGAGTGTTTTTTGCCTTTCCTTTCTTTCCTCTGGAAAGATATATCAAGTGTAATGTCACTTGTGTTCCACCTCACAGTAATTAATATAATTTTGTATCACAAACAACTTTCCAAACAAGAGCTAAAATGATCCACAACTCCACAGTATCTGTAGTTCAGACAAAGCTACCTAAGGAAATGATGTTCCTTCTCATGAGACAAAAGTCCAATACAGAGACGGGAAATGCCACCCCCAGCAAAGAGATGAGCAGAGGAAGACCATTACTCATAAGGCATGTGTCTCCTTCTCATCAAATTTCATCATCACTGAGAATCACTAATAGAACCATGTAGTAGCTCTAAGTATTTAAGAGCAAAGTTTAAAACTAGAAGCTATAGTAGGAAGGAATTGATCTGATAGCAAAGCTAAAACAAAAGAAAAAAATTAAAGAAAATTTCTGATGTGAGACTTTCAACCAGAAAAATTCAGAGTACCAGAAAAGATTTCATATATATTTATATATACAGCTTTCATAAACACATACACACACACACACATGCACACACAAGAACCCAAAACTGGACCTATCTTACCAAAATACCAACAATTCAAAAAAACAAAACAAAAATCTAACAGCAGGGAAATCACATGAATTACTTATTAAAAAAAAAAGATCAGAACCATATAATACTTCTCTACAACAGAAACTACCTTTTATATTACAGAGCAAAAGGAAGACATTTTTAGACAAGCAATCACTCAAATTACACCACCCACATGCCCTTTCTGAAAAAAAAATCTCTAAAATATATTTCAACCAACTGAAAAATTAAGAAACGGTAAGATGTGGAAATGAGAAAACAGTGGTCAGTGATCAACCAGGAGAACAGAGTTAAGTATAACTAAGGGTGTAACTAAGGAACTATTATTTATGTGGCTATGAAATTGAGTGTCACATTTCTATTGTTAAAAAAGAAATTTCACAATGTAAAAACATGCTGGATCTACAAAATTTCAGATAATTTCAATATACCTGGCAAAGAAGGTAATAAAAAAGTAGTAGAATTCTGTTTTGGCTTCTTTTTCTCTTTCACAGAGGCTCTGTTAACATTGAAAGATAGGTTTAAACATGTACATTTTTTTTTTTTTTTTTTTTTTTTTTTAAAGATTTTATTTATTTATTTGACAGAGAGATAGACAGAAGAGCACAAGCAGAGGGAGTGGCAGAGGGAGAGGGAGAAGCAGGCTCTGCACTGAGCAGGGAACCCGATGTGGGACTCGATCCCAGGACCCTGAGATCATGACCTGAGCCGAAGGCAGACGCTTAACCATCTGAGCCACCCAGGCGCCCTAAACATGTACATTTTTAATTTACATGTTTCCCGTTAGATAAAAATAGTAAGTTTACCATATAAGGAAAGGGAGAAAAATGAAAGAAAATATTAAATATAGCAAAAAAGGAAAAAAAAGGGAGATGAAAGCACAAAATAAGCTGATAGAAATAAGTTAAACACAATTATAATAAGAGAAAAATTCCCAGGAAAGGCAAACCCTAACACTGGGTAAAAACTAAAAATCCTGTAAGAAAAATACCTAAAACAAAATGACATGTATTAATTAAGGACAAAGGGACAGTGAAATCCACCAAATAGATGCAAATAAAAAGAAAGCAGATGGGGCAAAATTGTATTTTAAAAAAAGCATTATATGCTACAAGAGGGTTTTTTTATAGTAATAAACCAATAAAGACTACACAAAGGAGTCGTGAACCTTTTTACGTGCAGTAATAAAGCCCTGAAATTTAGAAATATAAGAGCAGAGCTGATTAAAAATACAAGGAGAAATGGACAAAAAGCACAAACTTTAACACACTTTTCTCATAATTTAATATAAAAAGTAGACCCCAATGAGAACTCATTTTTAATTGTTATTAAGTCATTATTATTTTTCACATATCTGAAATTGATGTACATCTTACAATGTTTAAGTTAAACTTTAATAGACATTTTTATTATTCCTTAGAAGTATTATTAAATTATGTGTCTTACGATCAATGGCATCTTAGAATTTGTAATATATGTCACACCAATTCCATACCTTAGAGATAATATATATTCTTCTTAAAAGTCCATGGCACATTTACCAAAATTGGTCATACACAAAAATCAATCATACGTAAGCCATGAAGAAGACCTCAGTAAGTTCCCCCAATTAAAATTGTATAAGCCATGTTGTCTGACCATAACAAAATAAAATTAGAGTAAAAAAATAATGCACACACAAAATCTACTCAGAAAATGTAAAATTGGGGCACCTGGGTGGCTCAGTGGGTTAAGCGGCTGCCTTCGGCTCAGGTCATGATCCCAGGGTCCTGGGATGGAGCCCTGCATCGGGCTCCTTGCTCCGCGGGAAGCCTGCTTCTCCCTCTCCCACTCCCCCTGCTTGTGTTCCCTCTCTCTGTCAAATAAATAAATAAGATCTTAAAAAAAGAAAGAAAATGTAAAATGCCTTAAAAATAATTCTAGGGCAAAGAATAAATCAAAAACTACAATTACAAATTCGGTATTTCAGTTAAAATCTTATATGTCAAACTCTAAAAGACAAGGCCAAAGCTTATTCCATGAAGAAAACTTTCAGTTGCAAATGCTTTTATTATTAAGGAAAGAAAAAAAGAAAAATACACAAACTAATCATTCAACCTAAAGAGCTTTAAAAATACAGAGGATCTTAGAAAGAAAGGAATAAATTTAAAGGCCAAAATTAATGAATTAGAATGCAAGTCCCCACAGAATTAATAAAATCCATTAACTGGGTCTTTAAAAAAGAACAATCATCTATCAAATCTATCCCTCCCCAAATATTAACACAAACAAGCAACATCAGACAAAAAACACAGTAATTCTGGATTAAACTATTAAAAAAATACAGGTACTACTTTTATACAATTAAATTTGAAAATCTCAATAGAAGGGCAATTTTCTAAGAAAACAAGGTTATCGAAATTGATTCAAGAAGGTGTAAAAACAAACAAACAAACAAAAAACCACAAACCCTGAA